TTTTTAGATATATTTCTCAATTTTTACTATAGATTAACATTTTTTGTCTCTATATAGGTAAAAATTCAGGCGGAATTCGATAGATGTACTTTAAAGGCTATCAGACATTGTTCAAACAAAGTTCTAAAATCTACTTTTCGTCAAAACAACAAAATCAACTAGCATTTTTTTCTGTTAAGCATTAGTAAAAAATATGCAGAGAGTAGATAAACGAAAAACTGAAGAAAGAAAGTATTAACTATTTAAATCGGTGTTCTTAATTTGAAGATATCCTTTGTTTATTCGTGTAGAAGCCTTAATGAAAAACAGTTGAAGGACGTCACTATAGCTCTTTCCTTGATTATATGCTTCTAAACATTTCCAAAACCTTCGGAAAAGTTTAAGATGAACTTATTATTGACGAAAATTATTTCGTGACTCTTCGATAAGTCTTATCATCGTATGATAATTCTGGTCAGTTCTTTTCCTGACGAATTGCTTCATATGGGTCCAACATCTCTCAATCGCATTGATTTCACAATGGTATTTAGGACAGAATAATACAAATACACCATATCTCTGTGCTAATTGTTCCAATCGTGAAATCTAGGGGAAAAATAAAGAAAAGTTATTTTCCACGTTTTTGGCTAGATAGGCAAAACTACATTTTGAAATGCTGGATGATTAGCTAATAACTGATGTAATTCACTTAATGTTGCTTTTGGTGATGGATTACAGTTAAGTTCAACTGCAATCTTAAATAAACCTTTGGATTTTCCTCGATCAGAACCCTGCTGAATATAACATGGTAATGATTTTATTACACCCTTACTATCTATCCATTGAAGTTCATCTACAGGACAACGTGTCGAAACCCCTTTCCCAAAATCTAGTAGATGATAAGGACGAGCTGAATGAGTCGTAGCATTATCAACTATAATTTCAATTTCATGATTTTTAAAACATTCTTTGAATTCAAGTAATTGAAATAATCTTTCGGATTGTGTTAATGTTGTTGAATTATCAAAATAAGCATCAGAAGTAACATGGATAGAAGCACTAGTCGAACGTTCTATATAATCAATATCTTGTTCTTCATCTAATTCTGGATATTGTTTTTGCTCTTTTATATTCAGCTGGACTTAGTTGAAAAAATGGTCCTGAATAATGCATGACTAAAAATTCTGATAACATATTAGATCTACCACGGCCTTTAGAATAAAACGGCGTGTGATCACCGTATAACCAGCATATAGCTGACACCTCGCCACTTCGAAAAGTACTCTCATCATGAACTAAAATGCAGAAAAAGCGAAAGGAATACTAAGAGAAAGTCTTTTCTAGTCTATCACAACGTACAGATCAGAATAGTTGGTGTCCTAACTTTGGGTATTTCCCATTTTGACTGAGCACCTTCGCTTATTAAGTAATATGAATCTTTTGTCGAAAGAAAATGCTGTAAAAATTTTGTACGGTGCCGGACTACGTCTTGTCGCTCATGACCTTCAAAGTATGGACGTTGTGAATTAGATTTGAAATGAGCACTCCACCTCCGAAGGTCAAGACGACATGATTGTACTGTACGAATTAATGAATCATTCGAATCTTTTTTAATACCAGTTAGCATATAAAATTGTTCATCAATAAATTTAGCTAATTCAAATGCATCAAAATCAGCTGCTTTTGCAGCACATCGTTGGATAGAATAGTTTTTAGCTGATAATTCAATATCAGGACAAACATCGTAAAAACTAGGAACATGTTCTCCGCCTCGACCTTCACTAAGAAATTCATCAAAACTACCAGATAAAAAAATATTAGCCCATTTATTAGCTGTTTTAGTCGCCAATGCACCAGTATTTTTAAAAAAATCATCACATTTAACCCAACTTACATCAAAATGACGAAGACTCATATATAATAATACGGTAACAAATTTTAAACCAATTTTATCTTTAGTTAATTCTAACATATCTCCAATATCATCGAATTTCATCTTACCAACAAAACGAGTAAGTTCAATATTATCATCGTTATCCTGTGTAATTTCTTCTTCTTCCGATACAATCTCTTTTTCTGATGAGATTCGTTGGTCATACCCACGCTTTCGCACGTAAACACGTCCTAAAGATCGACGTCTATTTAATTTTGGCATAATCAAAATTAAAAATAGAAAATTATTTACGTTGTTCTAAAATAGTTCGTTGAACTGGTAAAATTAACGTGTTTGATTCAAATAAAAATATGTAGTTAGAAAAGCGGTTCAAACAGTGATATTTATAGGCCAGAGATTAGTCTCGTGATCGAGAGAAATATATGACGAACGACGAAAACAATTCATGTACTAATAGAGAAAAAACACATAGTGAGAGAAAAGAACAGAACGCAAAAATACTTCGGCAATATATGTGGCGAAAAAGAACATATATATCCTGAACAGGAGGAAAAATACATATCAGCGAAGAACTGGAAGAGATATATCTATTGAAAGAACAGAAAATGTGTAGTCACAAGAAGATAAATATTCTTATGGGGTTTGATTTTCATTACTTTCTTATACCGGAATAACAAAAACAATTAAACTGAACATTTATTTAATCTATGAAGACATATGCGCAAAAAAACACTAGTTGATTTTGTTGTTTTGATGAAAAGTAGATTTTAGAACTTTGTTTGAACAATGTCTGATAGCCTTTAAAGTACATCTATCGAATTCCGCCTGAATTTTTACCTATATAGAGACAAAAAATGTTAATCTATAGTAAAAATTGAGAAATATATCTAAAAATGATATATCCAATTATCAAAAAATTTAAGAAAAAATGAATTTTCTGGACAGTAAAATAAAATTTAAAAAAAGTAAATAGGTACTTTTGTAGCCCATGTTCTGGGGATTCTAATGAGATAAGATAGTTGACTCTAGCTTTTATTACAAAAAACTAGATAGGTTTAAAAGAACACCGAAAAATAGGCATTTTAGGCATGTTGAAGTATTAATGTCAGACAGGATTTTTTAAACTTTTCTTTAGTTTTAAATCTAATCGAATAATATTTTCTAACTCAGTTTTTCATGCTGATTCAGAATATGATATTTTAAAAAAGTCTCAAAAAATTACATAGGGTAGTCAATAAGTTCTCGGAACTTCAAATATTTATTCAGAGAGAAAAGCATTTTATAATTGTTTTACAGTAAATGTTCGAAGTAGTCCCCATGATATTCAATACAAAGTTTCATCCTTTGAATCCAATTTTTGAATGTCTTTTTGTACTCATCAATAGGTGTCGAATTGAGCGTCTTGGTTATTGCTTTACGTAAACTTTCAGCATCCTGATATGTATCAAGATTACGTTTAAGATAATTGAATAACCAAAAATCCGAAGGAGCAAGATCTGGTGAATAAGGTGGATGAGGTATAACGTTGATTTTTTCTTCTTGAAGATAATCAAAAACAATATCATTTGTATGAGGTCGTGCATTGTCATGATAAAGCTTAATACCATGTGTTGTTGATAGCGGTCTTTTCTTCCGTAGCTTTCGAACCAAACCTTTTAAACATTCATCACGATAATATAAAGCATTGATAGATGTTCCTGGTGGTAATGGATGAATAAGCAATGGTCCAGTTGTCATAAAAAAGATAACAAACATCGTTTTTGCTTCGAATTGTTGTCTTCTGACTTCCGTTGGAGGACATTGTCCTTTCGACAACCATGCTTTTGAAGCTTCTTTTGATTTAATTTTGCGATAGTAAAACCAACTCTCATCACCAGTAACTATATCACCTAATCTTCATGTTCCATTTTCAAATTTCTGTAAGTTTTCGATGCAAATATCCATACGTTTTTGGCGTTGTTGTTGAGTAAGCTTATGAGGCACCCATCTTGAAGATAATTTTCTTAGCTTAAGACGATGTTTGAGAATTGTGTCGACACTACCATGTGATATGTCTAACACGTCAGCAATATAATCTATACTAATATGCGGATCATCTTCCACCAGACATTTCACAGCAGCAATATTTTGTTGGGTAACGACGGTTATTGGACGACCGACTCGAGGATCATCTTTCAACGACTCTCGTCCACTTGAAAATCGCTGAACCCAATTAGCAACTGTACTATATGAAACAGCATCTGATCCATAAGCAACAGTTAATTCTTCATAAATTTGCGTAGCATTTAAACCCAACAAAAATCGGGTTTTTATATACGAACGAATAGCTAGTTTTTTCATGTGAAAAAAGTGGTATTGAAATATTTCATTAACGGTCTCCTCTAATTAACACTTGTGAAACGTCGTATTGGTGTTTTAATACACAACAGATGTCCCTACTAGAATATAGCAACAGAACGGATAAAACTAATTAGGATGAAAATTTAAGTGACTATTACGAGAACTTATTGACTATCCTATGTAAATATCCTTAAAACACAATGATTTCTCAAAAATCAGTGCTATGTAGCCGTAAATATGACATTTTTAGTCTTTTGACTTTTTCACATTTTTCTCAGCCAAACAGTGACCAAATCGGAATAATATATGTATATTCGTGATCAGCTTCTCAAGCTCTATCAAACCATATATAAATAAACGAAAAAAATATTCACTGAAATTTTGCATTTTCGCTACCTTACCTTATCAGATTCAAGTTGTTCATCAGATAAAGTGCACGTGTTTGTTACCCCGAATGACGATTGTTCAATAATATTCAGATCTATTCCTTCGGTGTTATTGTTAGTTTTCTTCTTAAACGATCGAAAGGAAGATTCAATCGTCTTTCGTTTTTTAATCTGCATATCTTTCAATTCAGACGATTTGCGTGCTTCCATCTCACACTTACAATTTGATTTACATGCTCAACGAATCAAGACGTGAAATGAACATTCATTTTCTCAGGAAATGAATCAATCGAAAACAAACTAATTAAAACTATAAATTCATCCACACCAATTTATAAATGCTTTTCGTCGACCTAAAAAAGTTCTGGATGAACTGAGCCCATGTTAACCCGCCTGTGGCGCTGCCAATATTTTTACGCACGATGACATATCATTTTCAGTGTTATAAGAATTGTAAGAAACAGCATATCACTGACCCTGTTGATTATTTATTGCCAGGATCTGATCGAGTCAGTCACCACACTTAGAACAGGATAAAGGGCAGCTTCAGTTCATGAATTGAATCATTTGTTACTTCCAAAAGCTGCATTTTGTTCTGATGTATTTTAGTCACTATAATTCCTTGAAACAAAGGGTGAATGTAATGTTGAGTGATTGCGAAGACTTGGGAGCAGCTTCCACTATCACTTCTTCTTACAAAGAGGAGATAAATCGAACATTTTCATATTGAAGTTCATCAGAAATCGTATATTGTTGAACATTATTTCCTTATTCTAGCATCCTGTTTTTTTTTCTCTGCAGAACATCCTACCTAGATAGCTTTTTAATGGAAAAAATTAGAACGTTTTCAATGAGTACACTATAACAGCTTCAATTGAAAAATCGCAGATAGATCGAACAGGATAGTGAGGCAGCTGTCCTGAAAAGGTCATCATTTTTTTGGGAAAGTGTTTCACATTAAGAAATGCTCGGCAAATAGGAATCAATTTAATTATCACACAAATTTATTTTTGCGGTAGATTATCATCTGCCGTAAATCAATATCCATACGTACGTAGGGATATTGATCTAGGACAGATGATAGGCATTCATTTCTGCAAGACTGAGTATGGATAAAAATGACACTAGATGAGTTATTTTTGGCGATATGTTGCATCATTGTTATGAAAAATGTACCTAAAGACCACGTTATCTCAAAATACTCCACTGGATGATCAAGCGAGTCATTTTTGACGAGCATAACTCAACGGTTTATTACTAAAGCTAAAGTAGATATAAAATGCATAGATTAGACCAATATTAGAATTTCTACGTGCTAGAGGTTAGTTCATATTCAAATAAGTTCATTTGTGGGCTAAAATTCCGATTATAGGATGATATTTTGGAGATTCCTTGCGTGGTTCCGTGTTGCGTACAGCATCCATAGGCACCCATTTGAAGAATTTGAAGCCAGCTTTCTGAAATGCTTGTTCATAAATGCTGGGCGAAAGATAATAGGTTATGAATGAAAGAATCGACCCGTCCGGACTATAAACATTGTTTTTAATTTCCGCTCCGTTCTCTAATGGAACCTGGGCTTCAAACCAATAGCCAAAACTGCGATAGACATCGTTATTAACAATGTATTCAGTACAACGTACATTAGCGTTGACACCAAGAAAATAAGCACTGTCATCATCCTTGAGTTGCTCACTAATAATTTGCACCATTCTATCAAGTTCATCAGCTGTCTTAGCATAATTAAGTAAATAGGCAGCGACAACGAAATCAAATTTTTTTTCAGGCGCAGTTAAATTAAGGACATCCGCAATTTGATAAGTGACTCCGAGAGGATGCTTTTCTTCACTAGCACGTGCAATAGCAATCATAGCTGGACTTAAATCGACACCAACTACGTCTACAAAGCCGAGTTCCTGTTTGAGTTTTCCTATATAAAGATGCGAAAGCAAGATCTTTTAGAGATTTAAAGAGTGATACGAAAGTCTTAGTATTTTACAAATAAATATTTTCCTCTGTCTTCAGTAAATGCAAATATGGTCAAACTTACAAATATTATTTCTGAGATTTCGATGTATAGACTTGAAGCAGACAAATGATTTTTTATCTCGAGTATAGCTATACCTTTGTTTTAAAAATGCACTTGGAGAAGGATAAGTTTTATCATAACTATAATACAAAATATACTTTAAATGTTGCAATAGTCTCTTTCATTATTTCAATGATGCTTTTCTATACGAAAGCGTTCTAATAGTTTCAGTATGAAAGAACAGGGGAGGGGGACGGATAAACAATGGGCGATGGTAAATTTGCTGGAAATTCATTGATAACCTGTTCCAGGAAAGTGAAATGAGCTTTGTGGAGGCGCACTGAATGATAATCATTCATATTAGACCTCAGTTGCAAGGAAAAACACCGTTACGATTTCGTGACTCGTAAAATAGGGCTTTCATGAGTTGTAATTGCCTTTCTTCGTATTCTTGAAAGTTTGATATTTGAGAACATTTATTTGTAATCGACATGAAATTTTGCATCGTTCTGTGTACAGCTTAGGCATGCACCAATATCAAATCTTTTGATTTTGAGGATTTCGCTTTGACAATTTTACTTTTTTCTCGCAATAAATCGAAAAACACGGTTTTCAACAACCAAAACTAAAGGTTCAAAACTAATTTTGGTATCGGTGCGTGCCTACTTCTATCACTATATCTATTCCTCCCTATGCATACGGATGTAGTATGGGAGGTTTAGTGTCGTTCCTATCTTGAAATAGTATCGTCGAAATTTCACCCAAGTCATCAATACCCACATCCTCGCTAGCGTTTGAAGACTAATTTGATGTCTTCTAAACCTGGGGAAGCACCATGAAACGTTTCGCAATGTTGGCATCCGTAGATCCGCTTGGGTGACATCCTCGCCTATCCTCATTACAGATCTACTAACTGCCTCTCGGCGTTTTTTTCCACTGATGGAAGCGTCGTGAATGGTTTCGTGTCTTTTTCTAAAGGAAAATCGCTTGGGTGAGATTCCACCCAAATCGCACTCAGGTCACCTATGCCTATTCCTTAGCTAGTTAGTTAGCACTCTCTCCATGTTTTCTTGAATCTAGCGCACCAGTACAGACAGGTAATGCAAAACGAGCAGGCACACGAACACTAATCTTGAACTTTTATATAAGAATCAGTGAACATTTTACCGAAGTTCAGCAAAGGTACAGCCGATTGGGCCCATCTTCGAACTCGGCCCAGACATTGATGGGATAATGCTGTGTGGAAAATTTCGGTTGAGTATGACTCTTCTATCAAAAGACATCATGTAAACGGGTGGGCGAACGAACACACTGACCGATTCAAGTAGTATACTCACTTTTTAAGTACACAAAAAAGAGATAGAAACGCATGAAAATATCTTTAATGGATGTTAAACAAAATTCAGAAGACACTGCTTCCTCAGAAAATCTACTTCTTGAACAGAATTCAAAATTGTTTTCCATAGAACTTTGTACGATGTAAATTACTATCTTTGGGATCATAAACGTAGATGTGATTCAATGAGATATACTATTACTCGCCCGAAAGAGGGTAGCTAAATAAAAAATTGACTGTAGGCAAAGAATAGAATTGAATATTACTGAAAGGCACACTCTACTGCTTTCAACAATTTCACATATTTTTCTGACGACTTACTTATTTATAAACACTAAAATGGAAGCATATATTAATAATAACAACTCTACGCCTTAAGAAAAGCGGCAAATTATGAATCCTCGGGAAAGATTGTTCGCCGCGATGTATAACCTTTTTAGATTTACGAGCGTAATGCACCCTCTCACACGCCCTGTTTTTCATAAACTTCGTAAGGTACTCTTAAACGCCGCACTTTCATATATCCTTAATCCTATCAGAACTGGTGGTACAAGTGTTGTCCCACTTTGTCCTATTCCCTATCGACTTTGTCAAGATGGACAGGGGCGCATAAGACCACGAATCGGCCCATTTTTATTTTGCCTACTAACTCCTTATGAATTTTACACCATCAGGAAGAGCTCGTTAAGACGAGCATTTTGATATAAAATTGTTGGGGTTTCGACCAAGTTTTCGTTACAAGAAGCCACTGGCCAAAACCGTCCTTCTTCGACAATTTGCTGCAAATTTTGGTTTTTACTGTGAGCTCTATTTCATAAGCAAAACGTAAGATAAAATAACAGTTAATTAGTGATTTCGATGGCTCTTGATCAGGGGTTTAGTTCTATATATAAATCATTAGTTTATCGTTTGTTTTCGTACGACAAAAATTCGATAGAATGAGCATCGCTACGAAGATATGTGCTATATTTATAGTGTTTCCTGATCTTTTGAGAAATATTTGCTTAGAAAAATTGACGGTACCAAAATTCTCACTCAGCACGTTCGATAGCCGGTGAAAACGCTACTTTCTTATTATAGTTTTTTTGATAAAATAAATATGGCCACATGCACATTTTTGAACG